CAGGGCTGGTTCAGCAGCTCAACAATGTCATCCTTCCGATCTGCCACACTGTTGTTGCCACGTGGTCCCCAGGTGGAGGCTGTAACTCTACACCATCACATCCTCACTCAACTGTGTCCCAAGGCAGGAAGTGTGTGTGTGTGTGTGTGTGTGTGTGTGTGTGTGTGTGTGTGTTTTGGAGGGAAGAGGAGAGCTGTGCATTCAGCACAGTGAGAAGCTCTTCTTAAAATCCTCTCTTCTTGAACCTGGGAGGAAAATCGTTCTCAGAAGCTTCTGGACAGACTTTCTCTTACATCTCAGGTCACATGGCCTCCCCTAGACCAATCGCTGGCAAAGGGGAGGGATTATTGTGCTCGATTATAGCCAACCATGATACTTCTGACTTCTGCTTAAATGGAAGAAAGAGGGCGAGAATGTGGGGTAGAGGACTAGAAATGTCTGCTGAGCCACATCTAGTCTCCAGCTGTGTTGTCCAGTTACATCTCCAAGAGCTAACTTTTCTTCTAGGAGTATATCCTGGCTTTTTATATCATTTTACTGATGGTTTTTAAAAATAATGAGCTCAAGGAGCAGCCTAAAATAAATGGGCCTTGCCCCGAATTATAGGGTTTCAGTGAGTCATGTCCTTCCCTGTGCTGGCTTTACTCTGGAACATTTTTATGAGTTATAATTTACAAGATCCATGCTTTTTCCATTTTAATTCATATAGGAGAGGATAATGATTCTTAAGATTATAGCATATTACCTAAAGGAAGTAGAGTGTGTCTGCTATGAGAAGTCAATGGCCTCACCTTGCATGTCAGGTTGTCTCAAAAGTTATAAGTCTTTTCTGGCTTGGGGAAAATTTTAAGCCCTTTAAGTGGATGCAGTAGTGTCTATTTCAGTAATTGGAATGACTGACTTGAGCTCTTTCTAAATGAAACCAGCTCTCAAGGGAAACACATTCCAACTGCTTCTCAACACATAACATGAAAGCAAACAGCAGCTTATCAAATTTCTGAATAGCCAGTGGTTCTATAGCATGTGTCTGTTCCCAGGAAGTAAGCTTCCTCAAATGATAGGCCTTCTCTACTATTTGTTCCAGCTTCTATCCTGGACTGTCCTAGACTTTCTGACTTGTACCTTTTATGAATCATTGTCAGTTCATGTAAGAGATGTCCTAAAGTGGCTTTGGAAACCTCTCGGCAGATGTACTTCTCCCATCCACCTATAAAAATATATTTCTGTGAGTGAGTATAATGGTATTCATAAAATGACAGAAAATTAGATAAACTCCTCCAAATGCCTTGCTTTTCGTTAAACATCTCTGGAATTTTATGGTTTGTGTTTCTCTGGAATAAATCAGTTTTTGGTTGATGATTGTTTTTGTCAAGAATTTGTCAATTTTGAAACACCTCTGGACTTTCATTTGGGGTTGGCATGGAGCTGCCTCATTGTTGGCGATATCAACAGCTCCATTTCCCAGCGGATGCCTGGCAAAACACACAGGTGGCAAAGAACATGCCAGTTCCTTTCTGTGCAGAAATTTTATAGCCTGTTTTCTGCCTCCCTGATGGCCATTATAGGTGTCTTTGCAATGTCAAAAGCATGATTTTGGAAGCAACTGAGAGAGGCTATTTGAAGGGTCTCTTCTTTTGTCTTATGCCATCATTTTTACTACTTATTCTTAAAAGGTGATTCTCTTGCAGCAGAATAGCTCGATCATGTGAAATGTCTAAAGGAGATAACTAATATTTGATAAAAGTAAAGTTGGTAGACACATAGGAATTTGCCTTTTATACGTCTTCTGAAGCTCTTTTATTACTTGTGAACAATGTACCGGAATACACACACACAAACACACACACACAAAATGAGTAATAGTGTTCAGAACAGTTTTTCCAATAATCCTGTCATTGCTTAGACGATTTTTGGAACTTCTCTTTTAGAATTAGCCTGTAGTAGAGTCACAACCCTTATAAGCAAACTACAGATGCTCCCTGACTTATGATGGGAGTGCATCCCAATAAACCAGTCATGAATTGAAAGTATTATAAGCAAAATGCATTTAATACACCTAACCTACTGAACATCGTAGCTTAATCTAGCCTACCACAAATGTGCTCATACTGCATTAGCCTACAGTTGGGTGAATCATCTAACACAAAGCCTATTTTATAATGTGTTGAATGTCTCATGTAATTTATTGAATGTTGTACCGAACGTGAAAAGCAGAATGGTTGCGTGGGTACTTGAAGTATAATTTCTACTAAATGCTTTTTCTTTCGTACAGTTGTAAAGGTGAAAAATCATAAGTCAAATCATTGTAAGTTAGGACCCGTCAGTTGCCTTATTATTGTATGACCATACCTGGTTTTCACAAAAACCCTACCTTAATCACTTTATTTACCAGATTTGGAATTCTTGAGTCAGTCACAGCATATCAATGCTGGGTATAATGGTAGATTATTTAGCTCAACCCCCTTAGTTTCCAGTGAGAAAGTTAAGGCCCGGAGAAGTTAATTTGCCAAAGGTAACATAGCAAGTTAGCAAATAGCTTACAACAGAAATCAATTCCAAGTTTCATGTGGCTGTTTATTGAAAATCAAATCTATTTTGAAAGAACGTATAAATGCCACCATCAAAAGATATTTTTAAAAAAGGCCAGGCGAAGGGGCTCACACCTGTAATCCTAGCACTTTGGGAAGCTAAGGCAGGAGGATTGCTTGAGGCCAGGAGTTTGAAACCAGCCTGAACAAGAGCGAGACTCCATCTCTACACAAAACAGAAAAATTAGCCAGGGATGGCAGTGCATGCCTATAGTCCCAGCTACTTGAGAGGCTGAGGCAGGAGGATCACTGTAGCCCAGAAGTTTGAGGTTGCAGGGAGCTATGATGATGCCACTTTACTCTAGCCCTAGTGGCAGCAACTCTGTCTCAAAAAAGAAAAAAAAAAGATATTATAAAAGAACGTGCTGTAGATCCTAAAGATCCTTCCAGAAATAGTCCAGAAGTCTTTGGGGCAGCAGCAGCAGCATTATTGTAATAAATGTATCTTTATGTATAAAAATAAGAAATGTATCTCAATGTATAAACTCCATTATGTTTGCTAAAAAAAAAAAAAGACTGTAGTCATACCTTTTATATAGATTTCTTAAATTAGCAACAGAATAAAACCCTATCCCAATTTTGAAATGGTTTCTGTTTTTTCCATTTCTCATGGAAGACATCTGTAGGGTGCTGTGAAGATCTCCAAACAGCATCTCCAGGTCTAAGGCAAGCTTGTCCTTGAGCTGTGGTATCTGATAAAATAGCCACTAGCCACATGTGCCTATTTAAATTTAAATTTTACTTAACTAAATCATACAAGCCACACGTCAAGTGCTCAATAGCCACGTTATGCTAATGGCTAACAGCTACCATATTGGACAGTGCAAATATAAACATTTCATCAACATAGGGATTTTTATTGGTTAGTGCTTCCTGGAATTCCTGTACTCAGTGTACATATTTTAATTTACTACTTACCTATGCTATCTGTGGACAAGTTGGAAAATGGTGGCAAGTACTGGGGAAAGTAATTTAAATGTTCATTTGTTCTCTTAATGTTCCTAGCTATTCTGACTAGTGTAAGAAAAAATGGAGAAAAAATTATTTTTAGAGTATGATTATGTGTGTGGAATTTATACCAATTGTCATGTCTGACTACTGAATTTTCTTGGAGTATGCTGAAATTATGGCAAAAATGTTGTTAATGCTGCCAACGCTATTTGTAGAAAAGTCTGGTTAATTAGAAATCTCTTTACGATGTCATAACATTTGAAATGAACCAACTTAGACCTAAGACAATGGAAGTTATGTTGATTTCATTCTTAATGGCCCTTTTGTTTGCAAAGACTTCAAATGACTACCTACTTTCATTAATCCCAACATTACTAATGAAAAACCGTGTGGGAATATGGAATGGGTCAGCTCTACAGACTGACTTCAGGCCCATTTTCAAGGTCCCCTGTTCCAACATAAGTAGTGGAAGGGCAGGGACCAATCCTCCATGCCTTTTAAGGCCCCATGCTACTTCACATGATGTCCTGCCAGTATGTTTGCTGTAAGTCTGTCTGAACATGTAAATAAGAATTTGATCTTGCCTTCCCTGAAAATCATTACATTTGAGAACAGGCTAATAGTGTAATGAAATGCGTGAAAGCTTTGAGTTCTTTCTATTGCAGAGTAGGACCTCCTGAACGCCTGACTACTAAGACTCGAATTCCTGTGTGGTTACCAGTCCTTTTGGTGACTCTGTAGTGAACAGGAAACAGGGATCAATGAGCTACAGACTCTCATAGAGGAGGGCTAAAATGCCGCTTCTTCTGTTGGAATTGCAAGAACAGTAAATCCAGTTTTAAATTAAAGATGAATTAGGAAAGCTACAAAATACCATAATAAAATTGGAGTGTGTCCAAAAAATAAAGAAGCAGTTTTTAGTATATGTGGGTGTGTATAACATAAATCTATCACTGAGGCATACATAACATTATTTTTTGTTTTTCTTTTCCATATATTTAACATAAAATGGCATTTCTTGGAGTAATGGGATTTCTTGAAAAATGAAAATAGGTAAATGTATATATACTGACTCAGATCAGTTAGATGGTGATCCTTTTAAACCACTGGGGAAATATCTGTCTGGTGAGATCCATTTTCCCTATGTCTGGTAGGTGTCATGCCTTGTATAAAATGCTAATGGCATGTTCTGCATCAGGAGAATTCTGGAGCTATAACCAAAGTGCAGCTCCTTTTCTTTTCTGTTTAAAGTAACTTTTTAAATTTAATTTATCTCCTTCCTAACTGAATGGATGTTCAATCTGCTAAAATTTTTGCCAGCTACTCACAGCATCTATCACGTCCTATGGCCTAAGGTTATGAGACTTAGGTTAAGGACTTAGGGAAAAAGAAATCTTTCTGTCATGCAGTTCCTGGTATTGGTAACAGGACAATGATAACGTCTCTATTCTTCATTTGTAGATCACAATCGACAGAGATAGTGGTGAAGATGTGAGCTTCCCCAAACACGGAAAGGAGGACCCCGACAACATGCCGCACGTAGGCGGCAATACCTGGGCTGGCGGAACAGGTTGGTGGCACGGGTGTTCTCCTGGGTCCGGCTTCCGAAGGCTTCACAAGCCCATCAGGCCAGAGTGCCACCAGCAGGCTCAGCTTTCCGTCTTAGACTCCTCGTTACTCATTTGGATTGTGTTCTTGCCCTCTGCCCAGCATGACATCAAGACATGCAAAGAGCCTGGCATTTGGAGACCCACAAACTCTTCCACCCTATGACCTAAGACCATTCCCACCTAAAAGGGGATGATGTGAACTGCCTTACAAGGCTGTAGTGAGGATTAAATGAGATTAAGATTGTAAAGCACTGAGCGCAATACCCGGCATGAAGAATGTATTTATTAAAGTGTTAATCCCTTCTTTTAAATTCCATGACCTTGGGATTATGCCAGAAATCTCCAGGAAATTCTTTCTTGAGCAACTGACTTTTAAAAGATGTGGTCCTTGTCTGCCACATCTCAGTGAGTATGTTAAGGATAAGAGATTTTGCGATAAGAGAGCTGGTTGCAGTTTGAACTGATGGCCGTGGTCCATTCCTTCCTCTTGGCTGCCCGACTAGAGCATTGTTCCCAGGACTGTCGTCTTCCTTTTTCCTCCGCAGCCAGCTGGAGCAGACACATCTGCTGGGCCACAGGAATAGGGCCAGACTGTGTGCGCACTGTCTGAGCTTATCGCAGCTCTGTACTTCACCTTCCCTTAGGATGGTCTGCGCCTCTTGGCCTTGACAGCCTAGCAAGTTCCTGTGCTGAGACAATGCACTATCAAATAGGCCTGTGACTTCTCGCCTGCTCTGTTTATTCATCAAGCAAGAGCTTTAAAGTAAGGCTATTTTTAGAAATGTCCTTTGATCTATAAGTTGGTGTCAAGCCAACAAGATTTAATCCATATGGAATGCATTGTGGAAGGAGCTGGCCAGATGTAGGTCCCAGCACTCTGGAGTGAAAGTTCACATTTGTTATTCAACTTGAATTTACTACCTCGCGTTTGCTTCTGAAGCCAATGCCCAGACTGAAGACCCTGCATTTGCTTCCCCTGGCCTTTTATTTTTCAATTGAGCAAGGCCCTTGGCTTCAATTTCTCTTTTTCCCTCTATCATCCCTCTCCCTCAGAATTCTGTACATTGAACTTAGCTCTGGCCCAAGAGGTCATCTGCTTCCCTTTTCTTCACCAAAGCCCTCCCTTGCCCATCCTCCCCACCATCTTCTGAACTGCTTTGGGATGTCCAAGCTTAGCTTTAAGAAGATTATGCCTTGCAGTCTTAGAACGTCCTGCTAGCATTTTCATTTAAATAGTGCAAATTAAAGGCTTGGGAAGTGGAGCTCACGAAGAACTCTTCCCTCCTGCCCTCTCCACCCTAGTATGACTTTCCCAAGGGCCCTGTGACTCATGCTGGCCACACCAGCCCTAACAGTTTCTCCACTTTCCTCCTTTCACCAGAGTGATGCTCTAATTCACGATCCACCCATTCCTAAGGATAACGTCCTGTGTGATGGGAATCAGGTCCCAGGAACTACTTTTCCACCCGCATCTTACTGTCAATTTCCAGTTCCTGCGCCCCTCTGTCTGTCTATAGGCTGACCCTGAGTGAGAGCTGGGAATCACATACATCCAAGAAGGGATTTTCCACCACTCATTTCTGAGTACAAGTAAAATAAGATACGCTCCAACCAAAAGATAAAAATACTGTAATTAATAGGCTGTTCTCATGGTATTTCCCAAAAGGAAATGCCCTACCTGGACTTTCATAAAGGAAGCAGTTCATACTGAGTTCTCATTTTTAGTTTATTAGACAATTAAAGCTAGGGAGGAAGAGGAGAAAAGCTTTCAAATTGTCTACTTTATGAAACTAGAAATTGTTTAATTCGTGTGACTAGGGGTTATTTAAATAATAATAGTAAAAGTAGTCCTTTATATAGCTTTTATTATGAGCCAGAGAGTGTTCTAAGTGTTTTAGCTTAATGATAATCCCATGAAGTAAACATATTAAATATTGGTATCCTGATTTTATAGATGAGAGACTGAGACACAGAGATGTTAAGTCATTTCCCCAAAGACACACAGCTAATGAGTTGAAACCAGGATTCAAACTCAGGCAGTCTGGCTTAACTATGCAATAGTATACAATACTACTACTCCATGCTGTAGTGTACTATACTGCCCTTCTAATATTGGATTCGCTTCTAAGTTCCCAAGTTATGTATGAATGAACAAAAGAAACCAGTTCCTAGTAGCCTAATCAATATAGCAGAGGTAACAAACTGGTAGGCCAAAGGCCAAATCTAGCCAATAGATGTATTTTTTCTTTGGTTACCATGTTTTAAAATAATTTGAACTTGGACAAATTCAGACAAGGTAATACTCTCTAGTTAGCCAGTATCCCCAGAACATCTTATAAGTACCTAACTGGCCTGCTAGGCATTTGATGTATATTTACAGCATAAATGGTTCATACAGTGTTATATACTTACAAGCATGTAAAACTTGAGTTTATATTGAAAGACTGTTCTGCAGCTGGTGATGTTTATCTGTTGAATATCATTCAAAGCTAAAGTCAAAGTTGATATAACAATTGGCTTGTAATCTTGGCTAAGGCAGTGATAAAAGGTCATCAATAGGCCACTTAACCTCTCTGTGCATCATTTTTATAATTTGCCAGCCAGAAGAAACAGTATTTGTAGCCTAGTTGTCACTCAGTATTTTAAGGAAAAATAAGCTAACAAGAGGGAAGAGAAGAGTTGCTCATTTAATTAGCAAATATATACTAAGTATCTAAGACATTCAGGACACACTTATAGGTACATAGGTACAAAAATAATTAAAATATGATCCCATCCAACATGTAGTTGGTGAGAAAACAAAATAAATATTAAAGGTTAACAAATTGTACACAAGAATATTGATTCCCTATGAGGTAGAGGCATCAGATAAGCTGTCATAGAATTTGGACTGAGTCTTGAAATACAGGTAGGATTCGGATGAATGGAGAAATAAGGAAAAACATCCTAAACAGGGAACACCTAGGTTTCTAGAAAGTCATTTGAATATTTAATTACTAGTTAAGTATAATGAATATACTTTACAGGACTGTCTTAAAGCTGTGATCTGACTTGAGTTTTGTGGTCAGGTTCAGACTTACCGCCTGGCTTTCCATGCTTTCCTTCCAGGGGGAAGAGACACGGCAGGTCTGGGTGGCAAAGGAGGTCCTTACCGGCTGGACGCAGGCCACACAGTGTACCAAGTGTCTCAGGCCGAGAAAGACGCGGTTCCGGAGGAGGTCAAGAGAGCTGCGAGAGAGATGGGCCAGAGGGCGTTTCAGCGGAGGTCAGTGGTCCCTGGAACAGCACTGGCTGCTGGGGTGAAACGTCAGTGGATTGTGGGTAAACCAGGATTCGTTTGATTTCCTGCCTCGCGCAGCAACTTGGACCACACATTGAATTCCATAACCACCCCCTCTCCCTAATGGAGACAGCCAAGTGAATGAAATCCCGTCTTCTTCCTACTCAGGCTCTTTGAAATGTATTGATCACATATGACTGTGTAGAAGAAAGAATTAGGCATGTGAGAAAGGAAAACCAAAGATATTTCTCTTCAGAGAAGTTAAAGTTTAAATCACTCCATCCACGTCTATCTGTATAGGCCACAAAGGGAATTCAGATAACTCCACATGACGTTCTTCCGGCCCTCGGGAATCTTATGGCTTAGTGTGGAGACAGGGCTAGTGCACACACACACACACACACACACACACACACACACACTCACACACACACACACACACACACAGACCCTGTTGAGTGTTAATGTCACATGACACAGAGGCTGTGTCCTCCAACAGTGCAGAGAGGGGAAGGGCAGTGGGCTGGTGTGAGGTGGGGCCTGAGTTCACCCAGGTTTTGGAAGTGGGAAAAGAAGAGCTAGAACATTCCAGGAAGAGAAAACTAGGTGAGCAGAGGCACCAGGGCAGCATGAGCGCAGTGTCTATGGCGGAGGCAGCCAGCTTGCCCAGCCAGGTTAAGGGGTACCCTCCAGGGAGAAGTGGGCAGTGAGGCTGGGTGGGGAGGCCTCGCCAGCAGGTGGAGGCCTTGAAATGCAGGCCCACGTGCCTGTGGTGGCCATTAGACGTTCCACAGCTGTCCTGGCCATTTTCATTGGACCCGTCTAGAAAATAAGAATCCACATAATGCTCTCTGTAGACATCCATGTGTGTTCTTCAGCTAAAAGTGAGAAATGCCAAAGAACCAGCAGTGTCTCCTTTCAGACAGAGGGACCTGGTGGTGGTTTGGGAAGTAGATTGACATTTTTGTGCTCAATGAAGGGAGCTGGGTGCAGTTGGAAAAAGTATGCTCAAGGGTATGTGAGTTATGAAATTCCTCCCACATAGAACATCTGGTATCACGTTACATGCTGTACTTTCACATCCTGCAAGTAAACAGCGCAGAACAATAGAGACAAAAATGCAGGTCCCGCCTGCCACGCCCTCAGGAAAGCCTGCGAGCCTCGGGACCCTCCTGGGCCCAGCAGGTAAATAACTTGTGTGCGTTAGAGGCAGGAGTGTTGCTCTCAGCCCGTCTGCTGGCTTCCCTGGACAGTTTCTTTATCCTCCTTATGCCAGAATTTGCTCTTCTGGAGCTAGGGGGCCTCACTCTCTTTTCTTCCAGAGAGGCTATGAGGACAGAAACTATGTTAGGAATGAAAGCAGTTGAAACTTCTCAAAATAAGGTGGGAGGAATACTATAATGAAAAGTCTTGTTAGAATTAAAATACTACCCTACATTTCATATGAATAATGGAGTATCCATTTAGGAAAAGAGCCAATTAGATATGCGTCATTGTCCCCTCCCCAACTCATGAATTCCTATGATTGCCACCCTCAAAACCTCCCAAGTAATTGTCCAGTCTAAATTTTTGCACAGGTGGACAAGTGGATAGAGTGTTCTGGCACACACACGTTCACAGGGAGGCAGAAGGGCCTTGCAGTGGAGCGTGGACACGAGTGTGCAACCCCGTATCCGGTTGCCATGTGGGGATCAGGAACCTGGTTCTCTGAAGGGCCATTGGCCCACAGGGGAAGAAGTCAAGGGGCATCTTGCATTAATAAGGCAACTGGATGTAGTGGATGCCAGAGAGGAAAGAGAGGATGTGGGGAAGGGAGCAAATAAGAAAACCAAACACCTCTTGTGTACAGCAGAGAAGAATCTCAGTGGAAGTAAAAGAGAATACCATAGGGGGTTGAAAGACAGAAGAGGTGGGCAAGGGTGTGAGGAAAGGGAGGAGGAAATAAAAACACATGGAAATCCTGAGAAAGAGAGAGGCACAGAAAAACACCAAGAGAAAAATGTTGCTTTCTGCTTTCCTGTAGAAACAGGACTTCTCTCCCATTTGAAGACTGTTCCATTTAGTACTGCTGAAGATTTTTCTTTAATTTTTTTTCCTTCAACTTTTCAAACATAAAACCAAAGTAGAGAAAAATATATAATGAATCTACAGACCTGACCCCCCCCAACTTCAAGAAGAAACATCTGGCTCCACTCCCAGTCCTCACCCCTCACTTATTTTGAAGCCAATCCAAGACATTCTGTCATTTCATGGTAAATATTTCAGCGTGCATCTCTATAATATAAGAACTGAAAAAAATACAAACCCACAATACTATTATCATATCTTTACAAAGGAATAATTCTTTGCCATCATCAAGTAATTAGTTTTAAAGCTATTTTACCACTTTAGGCATATGCAGAATGAGGTTAGGTCCCACCCTTAATGCTTTTATAGTGGCCTTTACCTCCTTTCCATATCGCTTATCAATCCTTCACATTTTGTGATTTGTATGATTAGTTGATTGTCTCTCCACAGCCTATAATTTCCTTGAGGGCAGGGATCTATCTGTTTTGTGCCCTAGTATAGCTCCAGGACCTGCATGCAGAACCTGGTACATGGCAAACACTTATACGTGTTTGCAGAATGAATAATACATGCATACGCACAAGAAATAACATCACCCTTTAGTACTTAATTTAGAGACTGGCTGAAACGAGGCAGTCCCAGCCATCAGCTGGAAGGTCCAGTCTATTGCCCTGCAGAGCCTGATACTCCAGATGGGCTCCTGGCATCATCAACATAGCATTTCCTTAGCATCCGTTTGGATCTGGTGTGAGGCTAGAGACAAGCCCCTACATATCCAGAATATACTAACTCAGGCAGACTAACAGGGGGAGATAAGCACAGGACATGCATGAAGCCGAACAGAAACAGTACACCAGTGAAAAATGAATGAAATAGACAGTGAGGCACTTGTACACACTTAGAAAAGCATTTAGGGTGGGCACCAGCTGTGGAAATCGCATCCACTACCATTTGCAAAACTAATCAGCCTCACACAGTGAATCTCAGCTTATGTTTGTTTTCCTCGTAATTGATTCAAAATTATAGTATTTAAGTCTGACCTATAAGAAAAAGTAAAATGAGAGCTAAAATTCCCAGACTCTTACGTAACAATAAATATACCCTTTAAAAATATACTGTGCCAACAACGTACAGTTAGTCCACATAGATTACTAGGATGCGAAGCAGCTGTGCCCTGCAGTTTTGATCCCAGTTAAAGAAGCAGAAAGACTTATTTTTCAGCTAGTTTTGTGGGCTTGAGAGTATTAGCAGTGGGAATCTTGTTTGATCCAAAGGCTAAAATTTCCTATTTTCCTTCTCCATTCTCTGCTTTGGTCTTCATCTTTGAGAATTTGTTATCAGCTTTGAACACCTTGTAGGTGATCTTTCTGAAAGCTGACACAATCTGGAATACCATTTCCAGATTTCTTCATAATTGAAACAGCATGTGGTGTGTTTTTTGGGTGCAACATGATCTGGGAGCTAATTCTGATCTCTCCGCAATGGTCTGTCTGCTCAAGGTGACTTGCCAACTGCCTGGCTCCTTCCTTGATATGTATCTATATGTTTGTATGCGTGTATATGTATAGATATGTGTACATATGTACATATGTGTGTATGTATACACGTGCATGTATGTATGTGTATACATTCTCTCCTCCATCCCTGTCTCACCTTCCCTTCCCCCCAAGTACAGCTAAATCCACATTTTTTTCTAATCAGTTCTAATCTCCTTGGGGAAAGAGCATATTGACTTCCTAGGTATGAAGTGGGTAGGTAGCATATCCTACAGTGCTCATTGTGCCCAGCTTCTATCAGCCTTGATACTTAAGACATAACTTAATCTAATGAAAATTCATAGATTTCAGAGACTGCCAAAACTAAACATAAGAGGGATTGTTAGAAGATCAAGTCCTATACATGTGTTCCTTTTAGTTCTTCAGGATAGAGAGTTAATTGGATTTAGAAGAGCACCTTGGCATGTCAACTCACAATACAACCATTCAGATTTTATAATGGCCTTGTCTATATTTACCTTTTGATAGTGTTTTCAAAGTGCTATCTGACAGCATTTATTGAGTGCCACTGTGTGCCAGGCATTCTGCTAGGTACTGGAGATTCAAAGAAAAAATAAGACGTGGTCCTTCTACTAAAGGAATAGAATAGAAAACATCAGAGTACGTCACATATAATGAACATATTTTTCAGTTATACACCCACACACACATGCATTTGTGTGTACTAGATCTCAATGTAAACCATATTTCCTACTTTGGAAAAGAAAATTTGAAAAATACCATGATAAAGGGAAACAGACCTATCTATTAAAGCATTGAGTATACAGGTTCCATGTAGATGTCTATATAAGGTATATAAAAGGGGAATGGTCAGTTTTATCCAAAGGATCAAGCCAGACTTATTAGGATGTCACCTTTGAGCTGAGTCTTGAAACCTGAGTTGGTGTTAGCCAGTCCAGTTGGGTGATAGGGCAGGAATCGCAAATCTGCCCCGTGGTAGGGTAGGCCCAGCATTACATAGTTGTAATACGCTTCCAGTGCTCTGCCCCATGATGAATGCCTTCTTCCCAGTGGTTGGCCTGACAGAAGGAATTGAGACCATTTGTTCCCATTCAGTATTTGGGGTTTATGTTTTAGCCCAAGGAGATAAAAATATACTTTCGATAAGAGTTTCAGCTATACACCTAAGATCCACACCTCCAATGTTGCATACATGCGCGCACACACACACACACACACACACACACACACAGCGGTTTAGAAGATTGTGTTATGCTTAGGCTTTTGAGATATGCATTCATTATCCCCTGTCCTAGTATCAGCACCTTTTATATTCATAGAAATTTATGAAAAGGTGTGATTCAATTAGTGTATTATGGGTACAACTCTGTAAAACCCAAGAGCGGTCACCCTGTGAATGAACTTTCTACTTATAGTTAATGTAAGATGCTGAATTTTAAATAATCCTGGGTCGTATTTTTATTTCAGTCATTCATTTCAGCTCATTTTGAGCACCTGTTACATGTTAGGTACCATGCTAGGCATTATACATATAAAGATGAGAGAGACTCAGCCCTGACCCACATGAGCATAGAGCCCAGCTGGGGAGATAAAAGACAGGCAGTTATATCAAAGATCGTAGGTGCTCTAACGGAGGAATGAAGTGAGATGGGAGCACAGAAGACAGACCTAGGGGTCAGAGCAGGCTTCCTGGAGGAGACAATAATTGATTTGAGTCTTAGAGGGTAAGTGGAGTTAGCAGGCAAAGAGGCAAGGAAAGGGCACTCAGGTGGGAGAGAGGCACCTGTGGGAGCATCACAGCATGGGCCATGGTGTATGGTGTGTGCAGGGGACTGTCAGTGCACTGGTGGCACTGTAGCTAAAGCAAGTGATGAAAAATGATAAAAAGGAGCAGCATACTGGGAGGACAGAATTTCAGAGCCACATAATATTAAAATGTAATTTTCCTATTTAAGGTACACTGTCAGCAATTTTAGAAAACTCTTGTATAAGCATACATAGCAACACATTAAATTATGTTCTTTGGGCCTGCACTGTTATCTTGGCCAACCAAATAGACGACCTTCGTCTTAAAAAGCAACCCATGGGAACTCTCTTAGGAATTTGCCACATGAACTGATCAGCTGCCAACCTCACAGCGTGTCTTTGGGATATAGCAATGGTGTGCTGTGGAGCCAATTCATGCACATTTCTCCGGAGACCCAACTGTGCACATTTATAACTCAGTGTTCAGTGTCAGTTGCTTGACATTGATCGTGGTGACAATATTTACATCATGAAAATCAGCAAATACTACAAGTCAAGGCTTAAAAAAAAACAAATCCTGGAAGGCCAACTGTTAACTATTTACCAGCACAACACTGGACATTCCTCTCCTTTGAGTCTATAAACATAGCTGGACACATCACTTCTTGCTTTTTCTCAGAGTCATTCTAAGTTGCCAAAGAGTTTGCTAAAGTTCTAGCAGGAGGTGAATGAAAGTAAAAGACCCACATGCAGGCCGGGCGCGGTGGCTCACGCCTGTAATCCTAGCTCTCTGGGAGGCCGAGGCGGGCGGATTGCTCAAGGTCAGGAGTTCAAAACCAGCCTGAGCCGAGTAGCGAGGACGCCATCTCTACTATAAATAGAAAGAAATTAATTGGTCAACTGATATATATACAAAATTTAGCCGGCATGGTGACATGCCTGGTAGTCCCAGCTACTCGGGAGCTGAGGCAGTAGATCCTTGAGCCAGAGTTTTGAGGTCTGCGAGCTAAGCTGACGCCACGGCACTCACCGCTAGCCTGGACAACAAGCAAAGACTCTGTCTCAAAAAAAAAAAAAAAAAAAAAAAAAGACACATGCACAAGCTGTTGTATTTCTGTGCTCTTTTGGTTTCAGGCTAAAAGAGATCCAAATGAGTGAATATGACGCTGCGACTTACGAAAGTTTTTCGGGTGCTGTTCGGCGACAGTGGATCTCCTCCGAATCATCCTGGATAATTTACAGGTAATCTTCCACTTATAGACCAAGAAAGTAATGGGCCCAAAGCTCACCATCCAAAACTGTTGGAGAGAGCCATCTGAACCTAATCCCAGTCAGAAAAATTAATCAGTGCTAAAATGTTTGTATAATACTGTGGACTCATCCATAGCTTTCCTAGTTGAGTTCTCCAAGAAAAATATTTAACCTCACCCTCCTCCTGTCCAGGAAGCAGTAATGTTACCAGTAACGCAGTAACACACACCCAGCTCCTGAGCTCCCTCATAACCCATGAACTGATCAGCTGCCAACCTCACAGCGTGTCTTTGGGATATAGCAATGGTGTGCTGTGGAGCCAATTCATGCACATTTCTCCGGAGACCCAACTGTGCACATTTATAACTCAGTGTTCAGTGTCAGTAGCTTGACATTGATCGTGGTGACAATATTTACATCATGAAAATCAGCAAATACTACAAGTCAAGGCTTAAAAAAAACAAATCCTGGAAGGCCAACTGTTAACTATTTACCAGCACAACACTGGACATTCCTCTCCTTTGAATCTATAAACATAGCTGGACACATCACTTCTTGCTTTTTCTCAGAGTCATTCTAAGTTGCCAAGGAGTTTGCTAAAGTTCTAGCAGGAGGTGAATGAAAGTAAAAGACCCACATGCACAAGCTGTTGTATTTCTGTGCTCTTTTGGTTTCAGGCTAAAGGAGATCCAAATGAGTGAATATGACGCTGCGACTTACGAAAGGTTTTCGGGTGCTGTTCGGCGACAGGTGCATTCCCTCCGAATCATCCTGGATAATTTACAGGTAATCTTCCACTTATAGACCAAGAAAGTAATCTGGGCCCAAAGCTCAACCCATCCCAAAACTGTTGGAGAGAGCCATCTGAACCCTAATCAGCCAGTCAGAAAAAATTAATCAGTGCTAAAATGTTTGTATAATACTGTGGACTCATCCCATAGCTTTCCTAGTTGAGTTCTCCAAAGAAAAATATTTAACCTCACCTCTCCTCCTGTCCAGGAAGCAGTAATTTTACCAGTAACCCTAGTAGACACACACCCAGCTTCCTGAGTCCCTTCATATAAGATCTATGAGCATCACACCTCTACTGGAAATTCACAAATAGAATTCTCTTCCTACAAATCACATTACTGTCATTGAAGAAACAGGGGAACATTTAGGTTCATCCAGGGTGTGCATTCTTTCTGCCCCCTGGCTCCTCCTCCTCCTGCCCTCCCCCTGCTCTCACATGGCCTGCCTTTTTGCCCTTTCCCAAAACAACTTTTGGTGCCTCAGAAGCAGTTGATATTGCTGTTGTCCCTAAAAATAATGATTAAGATTCTTCAGTGCTTCCTAGCCAGTGACCATTTATTTGGAGATTTTACATCTGAAATCGTGCTCTGGTCAATTTGCACAAATAATTAAGGAAGAGGTAAGTATTCCCTAAAATCACAAGTGAAATCAAATTATTTTATCTAAAGAGAAAGCAGAGCCTCATTTCAGAATTAAAGGGGCAGGGTTCAGAGCCGGGCTGTGGCGTGCTTTTCCACTCTGCCCTGGAATCTCATGTTCCTTTCCATGACGAGTTTGAAGTTGATTGCCTTCAGTTCATACCTTTTCCCTCTTTGGTTCTTGTTTGTAGTTGTTCTTCTGAGGGAAGTTTTATTATTGATATTTTTTGCTAGGTATTGGGAGTTAGAAGTTCTGTGATGCAGTTTAATCTAAAACTCCAGGAAAACCTCATTTTTCAAAAGATCTAAATTGTATCAGGAAAATTAAGAGAAGTTTCATCATTTCCAAGAGGGAAAATCTTTATAATAATTAGCTAGGCTGGTGCAGTGGCTCATGGCTGTAATCCTAGCACTCTGGGAGGCCAAGGTGGGAGGATTGGTTGAGCTCAAGAGTTCGAGACTAGCCTGAGCAAGAGTGAGATCCCATCTCTACTGATCGAAAAATCATCCAGGCATCATGGCACACACACCTGTAGTTCAGCTACTTGGGAGGCTGAGGCAAGAGGATCCACTTGAGCCCAGGAGTTTGAGGTTGCAGTGAGCTATGATGACGCCACTACACCTTAGCCTAGGTGACAGAGTGAGACTCTGTCTCTAAATAGATAGATAGATACCTAATTTCAAAATCTGAGGAATGTAAAGATTAAATGATTTGCTTGAAAAAAAATTCCAAATGCAGTTATGTAGGATAAAACAACATAAGAGTTTATGTAAACTGTGTGAACAACATAACATTAAATGATTGGATTTTCTTCCATAGCCACTCACTTGACAAATGTTCATTGCCCTGGGCATTGAAGGCACCTGGGAACTGCCAGGTGGGTTCTGAGCGTCAGGGCAAGGCAGGAGTCGGTATAGGGCCAAACTGCATGGTTCAGAAGAGAGGAAGGTAGTGGGAGATGGTGCTTGTACTAGGACTAGAGAATGAATGCAGTTTAGTCTTTCATTCAGTTCTTAAGTTCTTGATGCACATCAGGCATTAGGGATAGAAAAATAAATAAAGTATAGCCCCTTCCCTCAAAGAAGGAACTCAAAGAAGACAAACAATTTACTAAATTCTTTAGAAAAGTTTATACATGGTACTATGAGACAAATGAAGAGAGGCTTCTTGGAGAATGTAATGCTTGGTTTCACTCTTGAAAGATACTGAGGAATTTCCCAGGTGGTTGGGAGTGAGGACAATCCAGACAGAGGAAACACATGTGTAAGTGTACAGGGGTGCGGGAGAGCACGGTGAGTGCTGCGGAGGGCAAGGTGTTCAGATTGGCTAAGAAGAGCACAACCTGGTGGGAGACTGAGGACAAGAGAGGAGGCCGGCAGAGTCACAGGCACCAGATCCCGAATAGCCCTGGATGCCCTGAGCACATGCAGACAACATTGAGTTCTACCCTGTGGACAGACAGAGGTCCGGAGAGGACTGACAGTACCAGACAGGGATGTAACAATACATATTTAATTGAAGGCATCACATTCCTCATGGTATTAGTATAACTAATACTCTAGTAATAATTAATGTCTTGATTGGTATTTGTAAGGCACAGTGTTATAGTTACTTATATAAACATCATCACATTTTATCCTACATCAACCCTTTAAGATAAATGGCATTATGTTTCTAAGATCAGCAAAAAGAAAAATCATATCCACTGCTGTTACTTCTCACAGTAGCACACGCAAAGCCTGGGTTAGAATTAGGGTTAGCAGTAAGGAATGACTCTTTTTGGTAATCACCACAGTGATGAGACCAGTATCAAAAAACAGTGGCCAGTTTTGCTTTCAGCTTTCAAAGAGAAATAAAAGAAAACTATAAAGGTCTCAGGGAAAAGCAACAAATAAGATTAAATGGATTGAAAACAAGAAGGTGGCACCCATAAAAAAAATCCTTAAAGGAATTGGGGTTACTAACTTACTAAGTATCCTCAAAGAGAGTAACTAATTATTTCAGGGAAGTTTTTATTCTCTTCTTCTCTGGAAATCTAAAAAAGAGAAAATAGGCTTAAATAATACCAAGAAAGAGTTTTAAGATATATGAAAGGAGATAAAAGCGATTTAATCTTTGAGTGAGTAACTAAAATGGATATAGAACTTCCATCTCTAGAAATCTTTACAAATGATACCAGAATTACAATAATAGCAAGCATTTACTGAGCATTTACCAGGCCCCGGGCATTCTACTAGGTGCCTTACATCATCATCATCATCATCATCATCATCATCAAGATCACCTCCTTCATCGCTGCTTAATGGCTAATAGTGCCAGCTCTGTAACCAGACAGCTTGGATCTGCAAAATGGGAATGACAGGTAATGAATGTGGCATTAATGAAGATTAACTCAGATGATCCATGTAAGCCATTTAAAACAGTGCCTAGCGTATAGCATTCTCTGCAGAAGGATTAGGTTCATTTTTGCCTTCACTGTACTTGCTACTACTCATCAGCCGGGACAACAGGCCAGAGACCCAGTCAAGTACATTACATTCATCGTGCTATTTAATCTCTATAAAAACCAATAAGTATTATTTTCTATATCTGATAGATGTGGAAACTGAGACATAAATTATCTCAGTTCTCATAATCCTATGAAATATAAATATTTTGCCCCCACTTTATAAATGATTTAGAGAACCAAATCTTAGAAAGATAGCATCGCTTGTCCTGGGTTATATGGCTAGTGAAGCAGGTGCTTGAGCTTAAAGCTCAAGTCCCAGTTATTTTTTAGGTCTCTGTTACCTTTCAACTCTGCAATTCCATAAAAAAGTATAGTTCTTAAATATACTCAGACATTTTTCATCATTATCCAAATGCCAACACAGCATTTTCAAGTGTTTCTCTTATTGAATCTTTATTTTTAATTCATAGGGGAATTATTCTTCGGTGGGCCTTCTAGTCCTCAGTTTAGGGAGATAGGGCTAGTTTAAAACACAGCTCCTGCCCAAGAATGGACAGGGCCTTACGTAGAATATGAAGTTTTAGATTGTAGCAAAAGCAAGAAGACTTTGATTTGGTCCCGTTTTTGCCATCTTCTGCCAGTCCTGTGTGGCTCTGATTGACTAATATGCTCCAGCTGTTCTGAGGTTGCTGCATAATCCCAGTAACCATGGGTGTTTCTCCTTGGTGAGCAGCACAAACTCTGGCCAGGAACTAGCAAATCATCGTTTGAGATGACTTTCCAAAGCACAGCTTCAGGCCCACGCGTTGATTCCGGGTGACTGGGCTGAGATTTGAGGAGCAGGAAATGCTGTTGCTGCCCATGTTAACATCTGCTCCAACATGTGCCCGGGTTACAGCACGTGTCTTTCTTCTCAAGTAAGACAGCTGTCACCATTGACCTTCCTGGGCTTCTTTTGAGTTATTGCACCTTTTCCCTTTTCTGAATCAATAGGAAGAGTTTGCTTACTAGAATAGTAGAGTCTATAAGTACTTCCATTATATTTGGTTCAGAAATTCAATCTCTGATTGCCGCATTCTCTAACAAAGGAAAACATCCATTCCCACAGAAAACCACTTGATTTTAATCATATCTTTTCTCCAATGTTTTTCTGCTCTGCAATCAGTAAGTTCATTCTAAGGCTAAACTAAATTAGCCTTTCTCTGATTGCTTTGGCTAGCATGATATCGCTATGAACCAACAATTATATTCCTTTTTTTCCCCCTCCAGTGTCTCAAAATGAGCTTTTGTTCACATAAATCATGTTTTGAACACTGACTGTGTGGTATGCACTGTGCTTAGCACTGAGAACACAAAGATTGATAAGATATTGCCCCTGTGTAAGAAAATTCTTATCTGGAGAGGCAGAGCAGAAGATACCTAAACAGATAATTTCAGTTTAATATGGCAAGTGCCTAGATAGAGGGATTCTTAGACTGTGATGGAAGCCCAGAAGAAAGGGGTTCAAGGATAGATTTTGAAGGAAAGAATACATGAGCTGAGTCTTGAAGGACAAACAAGTATTAACGAGACAGAGGAGGGTAGAAACAGTGCCCCAGGAGAAGGCACAGCATGGACAAAGGCATGACACTGTGTGATCTCAGAAATGAGCTGAGGGCAGGCCACAGGCAAGATACCAGCCAGTGGGAAATGCAAATAAGGACATGAGGCTGAGAGGCAGGTAGGTGCCAGGTAAGGAACTTGGACGTTTTTCTGAGAGTCCACTTTGCTCATATGTGAATAGCAGAAAAAAAGCATTTTCCCATTCCTTTTATTTAGTCTGTAATAACTGTTTCGTTCAGTAAACATGTATTGAATATCTATTTTGCCTAAGGGTTCTTATCTTCAATAACTAACCTTCTAGGCA